CACGTCGTCAAGGAAATAGTGCTTCTAGTGAGCCATCTGATGAATCTGGAGCTCCAAAAACCAAGCTAAAGCCATTTTTCTGGGACAAGGTTCTTGCCAGTCCAGGCCACTCAATGGTTTGGGATGAGATTAGTGGTGGATCATTCCAGTAAGGCTATATACCTTACATTAAATATTGAATTTCTCACTAATGGTTGCTTATAAAATCATCCTCATGATAGGAAATTGTACTAAAAACTTTACAGGTTCAATGAGGAGATGATAGAGAGTTTATTTGGTTATACCGTGGATCACCACAAAAATGATCAAAGGAAAGATTTGTCTCAGTATATTAAGATTATCGACCCAAGGAAAGCACAAAACTTGTCTATTCTTCTACGAGCACTGAATGTCACAACAGCAGAAGTTGTGGATGCTCTCCAAGAATGTCTCTCTCTCTCTCTCTCTCTCTCTCTATATATATATATATATATATATATATCTATCTATCTGAATTGCCTCATCATTTTTAACATCTCATGACAAGAATAGTAGAGTGCATATCTTTGGGTTGGACAGATTCTTAGCATGCATGAAATCTAGTGGGTAGACTTTAATTTGAAAGTTTGCTCTGTAAGTGTTGATATTCTTAATTGTATTCCACTCTGAAATTCACCAAATCTAGCAACTCAAGTTGGTTGAAACTTGGGTAAATTAATGAGTGTGAGATTTAAATTCATGACTAGTTATGATTTGAGATTTAGTTAACCGTTCATTCCATCATCATGGATCATAATACTATCACAGTTTTCAATAGAGAAGGGATTGTTCTTCAAAGAAAAAAGAAGGGAAAGTTAATGTTATTATCTTACTTATACTATGCAAGTCAAGTGTATTCTCAATTTCTTGGTTCGCAGATCTAGCTTATTCTTCATAAAATTGAATCAGGTAATGAGCTTCCAACGGAGCTTCTTTCAACTTTGTTGAAAATGGCACCAACGCAGGATGAGGAACTAAAGCTTCGGTTATACACAGGTGATCTCTCTCTACTAGGTCCTGCAGAGCGGTTCCTAAAAGTCTTGGTTGAGATACCATTTGCCTTTAAACGTATAGAGTCGCTGCTCTTCATGTCTTCACTAGAGGACGAGTTTTCTAGCGTTAAAGACTCCTTTAAAACTCTCGAGGTGAGATCTACCATTAAGAGTTATTGTCAAAGTTACTTTTAGTTTTCTCCTAAAGGAAAGTGAAGATGAAAGTTTTCTTACGAGTTTTGTATTTTTAACTTGTTGCTTCTTTGGATGATCTACCTCTTAACAATGGCCAAACCCCCTATTTGCACCAAAAAAGTAATGGTTAAACTCCTTGATTGCACCTTGACTTTGTTAGTAATTTGGGGGATTTTGTGGGTTTCAAATTATGGAGGTGGTTGACTGGGAGAAAAATTAGTTTAGGATGTTGAATGTGGAAAGAAAAATGTCTGGGGGCAAATAGTTGCTTTGGCCCTCATTAATTGATAGGAAGCTTCATGAAATGTCCTAAGAATTGATGGTAAGATTATATTTATCATAAAAAACTTTATCTATGTTTGTTACATAAAAAAATGATCATGGTCATTAAGTCAGGTCCTGTTTCAATGACAGGTAGCTTGTGACAAACTTAAAAGCAGCAGACTATTCCTTAAACTTTTAGAAGCAGTGCTTAAAACTGGTAACCGTATGAATGATGGAACCTATCGTGGTGGTGCATCAGCATTTAGGCTTGACACACTTTTGAAGTTGTCTGATGTAAAAGGAACAGATGGTAAGACCACACTCCTGCACTTTGTTGTTCAGGAGATTATCCGTACTGAGGGAATAAAAGCTATTCGGGCATTAAAATCGAACCAAAGTATTTCTAGTTCAAAGTCGGTGGATTTAGTTGAAGATCCTAACCAACACACGGAAGAATGCTACTTCAACCTCGGTCTTCAAGTGGTTTCAGTTTTAAGCAGTGAACTTCAAGATGTTAAAAAAGCAGCAGTTATTGATGCTGATGCCTTGACCACCGCTGTGTTAAAACTTAACAGTTCACTGTCAAAAATTAGAGAATTCTTGAACAATGATATGAAGAATATGAATGAGGAATGCGAGTTTGTTGTTGCACTATCAAGCTTTATTGACAAAACAGATGCTGATATAAGATGGCTATCAGTAGAAGAAAAGAGAATCATGGTCCTGATCAAGAGCACAGCAGATTACTTTCATGGAAATTCAGGAAGGGATGAAGGCTTGCGTTTGTTTGCAATTATACGTGATTTCTTGATGATGGTAGACAAAGTATGTAATGAAGTTCGTGAAGCAAGAATGAAGCATAACAAGACTTCCAAGAAAGAGAAAGAGGCCGCATCAGTGTCAGCTTGTCCAGACAACCGGCCACCAATTTCTTCAGATAAGCGGCATCCATTCAAAGACATGCGTGAACGTTTATTTCCAGCAATCCAAGACCGACGAATGGAAAGTTCCAGTTCAGATGATGAGAGCCCCTGACCTTCGTTGTCAATTTAGAAAGGTATATCACAGTTTTTTCAAAGATAAAAGGTTCTTGCTTTCCTTCCTCTTTTTTTTTTTTTTTTGAGTTTGAGGTTGACTTGCAAAAAAAAAGAAAGTTCAAAAATACACGTGAGATTAATAAAATATCATTAATGAATTAACACGGAAGGAGAATTCATTAATAATATTTAAATAATTTAGAAAGGTATATCACAGTTTTTTCAAAGATAAATGGTTCTTGCTTTCCTTCCTCTTTTTTTTTTTTTTTTTTAGTATTTTAGGTTGACTTATAAAAAAAAAAGTTCAAAAATCTTTGAGAAAGTTTTCCCACCAAAAGACTCATTAATTAATTAATTATTTATTTATTTTTACTGTTGTTCTCTTCAAAAATGCCCTTTTTCTCTTCTCTCATCATTAGTCCTGATCATCGTATAAGAGAAATAGTTTCCTTCCTCAACCTCGTACTAAATCTAAAATAAAACA